CATTCGAGGTGATAAAGTAAGTTGGAAAGGTCTCTTACAAACTCAACCTTCCACCAAAATTAAATATACATTCAGTCTTTCACGTAAGCATGTTGAAGCCCTATAATGAAAACATGGAAGACCGTTTAAGAGGGTTTTCAAAGCGAGCACCTACAGTCGTAATCACCTCCTTTGATAAAAAAAATTGAAGAGACACTAGCAGACAAAGTAATCAGACGATGAGGGAAGCAAAACTACAAAGAATATCTCATCAAGTGGAAAGGATTGTCTGATAGTGAAGCTAGCTGGGAGCATGAAGACAAATTGTGGTAATTTAGCGAAAAGATACAACAATACCAGGAGAATGGTATAATAAGGGCATTGCGAGCTTAAGTGAGGGAGAATGTCACACCCCACCAACTTCAAAGACATTGATAATACAACTATGAGATGAAAGACTCTAGATGGAGGAGAAGTAATCCAGGCAACTCTAGAAGATTCCAAATCACTAGAGAATGGTCCAAGAATAAACTCAAGAGTAACATAGAAGGATCTAGGGTCATGTATATATATAAGAATGGTGTAGAACTATCTAGAAATTAATTTTTTCTAATGTACTCTAGAAAGTTTCTAAGGCTTGGGAGAGGACTATAAATAAGAGTCCCTCCCCTCATTTGTAACCTTCCAAGCTTTCAAACTTTCAAGTGTTGTAATTGTTCTCTGTTAGTGAATTGTTCTTTTCTCCAATATTTCTTCTTACCCTTCTTAGAGGGTTTTGCGCTTCCAAGTCCAAGTGTTGTGAGAGATATTAGGCTGATTTAGTGCTAAAGTCACACGGTTGACTTGGCATAAGTTAGTCTGTGACATATATAACTAGTAATATTTACATAATTGCAAGTATCCTTTACGTAACTATTTGTCTTATGATTCAATATAAACTTCTGATAAAAATATTGTTCTAAATATATCATCTTAAAACGAACCTCAATTCAATCATCAAGCCATTAAAAATCCAACTTGGTAGAAAGCTATGGAGGAGAATTAAATGACCTTGAATTAAATGAAACATGGTCTATTGTTCCCTTGTCCCCTATATAAAACATCATAGGATGTAAGTGGATTTATAAAATTAAGTACTCTGACAGATCTATAAACAAACACAAAGCTCATCTTGTAGCTAAAGGTTATGCTCAACAAGGTGTAGACTTCATTGAGACTTTTTACCTAGTTGCAAAGGGTTCCTATTAAGGTTCTTTGCTCTTGCCTCTTGCCATAATTGGACATTAACTCAACCTTATGTCAATATTGTTTTCTTGCATGGAGATTTTATTGAAGTCTATATGCAACTTTCTCTAGTATATACAAGTAAGAGGGAGTTAGATCAAAAAAGTCAAAAGCTTGTCTATCACCTGCATAAATCCATCTACAGACTCAAACAAACATCTATACAATAGTATACAAAATTTTCTCAAGCCATCATCAAGTGTGGATTTACTCAATAAAAAATTGACTACTTATTTGCCAGGAAGGTCGGGTATTGCTTTTATTAATACAATAGTTTATGTCAATGATATTATTATTGTTGGACCATCTCCACGTCACATCAATTTGATTAAAACCCTTCTCAATACCATTTCAATCTTAAAAATTTGGCTAAGTTAAAAATATTTTTCTTGTCTTTGAAATTGCCCACTCAAGCTGGCATTATTCTAACGCAACTGCAATATACCTTATAAATCATAAAAGATATCAGTATCTTGTCTGCAAGCCTAATAAGGTTCCTATGAATCCTAAAATTCATCCTTTTGCTAACGAAGTAGATTTTATGCCTAAGGTTTCTCAATACAGATGCCTTATAAGGCACCTACTAAATCTTACTTTGTGATCTCGCCCAAACATTACATTCATCATTAATAAACAAAGCCAATTTATGACCCAACCTCGCATACCCAACTTTTGCAGCCTACCACAACCTTAAATATCTTCAAGGAACTCCTAGTTAAGTTTTTTTCCCCCAGTTCTTCTAACCAACACTTAGGGCCTACACCGACACTAATTGGGGTATATGTCTGGACACAAGAATAGTTGCTACCAATTTATGTTTTTTCTAAGTGATTCATTGATTTCTTGGAATGCTAAAATACAAAATACCATTTCCATATTTTCAACTCAAGCAAAAACGAGCTTGTGGTGCTATAGTTTGTGAACTAACATGACTATACCATTAGTTGAAATATTTAAAGGTATGTGTTAACTTTCCTGCTCTCATATTTTGTGATAATCAGACAACCATACACATAGTAATTAATCCTATTTTTTATGAGCAAACCAAACACATTGAGATCGACTTTCACTTCATTCGATAGAAGGTAGCAAACGAATCCATCAAGCGTATGCCCATCCAAATTCAACATCAGCTTGCCGATATTTATACAAAACCTCTTCCATTAGGTTGTCTATCTACATTCCTATCATATATATATATACAGTCTTTC